CTGACTTGGTCTATTTGAAGCAGCTTGTCTGTCTCAACAACCTGTTGATTTGTCTGCCTGAAACAGCCTGTCTGTCTGACTAAACAACCTGTCTGACTATCAACCTATCTGTCTTAAGCAGCCTGTCTATCTGATTAAACAACCTGTCTGTCTGAAGCAGCTTGTCTGTCTGACTTAACAACCTGTCTGTCTACCTGACTTGGTCTTTTGAAGCAGCCTGTCTGTCTGAATCAGTCTGCCTGAAACAACCTGTCCATCTGAAGCAGCCTGTTTGTTTGACTAAACAACCTGTCTGTCAACCTTTCAGGGAGACCAGCAGCCTGTTTATATATTGTGTAAGTCAGGTCATGTAACTACTGTACGTGCACGTGTAGATGTGCACAGGCATAATCATATTCTAAAATAAAACCTGCAGCAAAATGAAAAGGTCAAATCTGCAGCTTTAGCTGTTAGAAGCTAAACATGAAAACACGAGTGCTGAATGATGGCTGAAACTGAGTTGTTAAAGCTGAACACTAGCTTAAAGCTAGAAGGGCTATCAAAATACATGTTTTAAAAAATAGCCTGATGCATGCTCAATAATCCAGGTAGAAAAATCTAAAAAAGTAAAATCTGGTCCTCTGGACATTAAAGAAACAAAACAAAAAAAATGTAGAAACGTTTCGTCTTTCATCGGAAAGACTTCTTCAGTCTGAGGTGCTGTATTCAGCTCAGTCTTATAAATAGCACCTCATCAGAGTGGATCAACCAGTTTGCTGCTGACAGCCAAAACCAGCTGTTCACATGATCAAGGAGGACCATCAGCCTAACAATGGATCATTAGCACAATGATGGCTGTTTACTATTCACAGGGGGCTGAGTGATACTAGCAATAACAGCATTAGTATTACATAAGAGGTAGACAGTTGAACACGGAGGCCTCCACCCGTGTTTAATAATGGATGGTGTCTTTTCACAAAGATGGCCTCCTGGGCGGCTGTGGCTGAGTGGTTAGAGCAGTCGTCCTCCAATGCGAGAATTGGGGGTTCGAATCCACCAGCAGTCACATGCTGAAGTGTCCCTGGGCAAGACACTGAACCCCTCATAGCCTCTAATGTGTGTCCCATCAGTGTATGAATGTGATAAAGCTCTGATTAGTCTCTTTAGAATGATTTGTTCAATTAGCTTTGTAGAGATCTAGTAGAGTGCTGTATGAATGGGTAAATGAGGACACAGGTTGTAGTGTAAAGCGCTTTGAGTATCTTGAAATAAGATAGAAAAGCGCTGTATAAGTACAGTCCATTTACCATTTACTTTACTCCTCTCTCAAACCATCGTTCCTCTCTATCCAGGATGTGAACATTTTCATCCCTGAACGAGTGACCACTGGCCTGGAGATGAGTGTAGACCGCAGAGTCCTGGCCTGATGATGTTGATCTTGTAGATGAACATATCCTGAGATATTCACCTGATTAAAACGGATTCTTTCATTTTTCTGGACTGAATATAAACGTGCATTGAATTTAATAAAATGTAACGTGAGATGTTATTTATCTTTGACCCATCAAAATGAATGTGGTCATTTATTTACAGAATCAAAGTTTAACATCAAACATTTACATTAATTTGGCAAAATATGAAAATAACAACATAATTAATCAGCAAGCTGTACAATTATGATCAACCACACGGCGGTGATTGGAAGACTTTACACAGACATTTCTAAAATATCTGGAATGATTTCTACTTGATAGAAGAATTTAAAGATGGAAAATGAAGTTTAAAGGGAGTAAAAGATGGTGTGTGAGGGAGAGTGTTGACCAGAAACGACACTCTCCATTCGAACCCAGCTTTCCTCGGTACGCTCGGTAGTGAACTTGACTCGTTACCTCTCTGAAGATGAATCAGCGGATACGGAGTTCCAGTTAACGCTACCTGTCCAGCGTCTCCATAGGATGGCTGTGACTCGTCCGAAGTAGTGACGATATTCCGTCTGACACAAGTTCACCTCAGCCAGTGGACCTCACATGAGTGGGGTTCGTCCGAGTTCCACTCAGAGGTGGAAGATGTTATAATCCCAATCTCGGAAGAGCCTTATCATGGCTGGACTTCTGTTCTCCCAAACGACTGGAGCTGCAAACTCTCCAGCCCGACTCCAACGGCAACTGCGACCCAACAGCCACTCACAGAACTGAGAGAACTAGGAAGTACCGACATTTTAAAGGGCTCTATTTCCGGTTCATTTGGGAGTTTTCTTATTGGTCAATGTCGACCAGACAGGGGTGTGTTTTGTGACGTAAAAGGTTACTAGAAGTCAGAAAACAGCAAGAATGTTATGGAACAGATTGAAAATGTTTTTCAGACAGGCGAGAGAAATGTTTGGGCGAGTTTGGAGAAACAGGTGCCAACTTCTCTGTTTACGTCTGAGAGGATTTAAAAACAAGACAGTTGTTCCAACACTTGTCTGCTTCGACTCCGACCTTGGAACAAACGTACACTGCTCATTCAAAGACAGAAAATCAGAAAATGCATAATTACTCTGTAACAGGCCTTAACATGAATTCTAACTTTGCATGAGGATTAAAAAATCATTGTTACTGTTTCACAGTTAATTAAAAATGATTAGTTCACTGCAACATCTAAAATGGTTTGAACTAAAATACTTTGATTATCAACATTTGTAAAACAGTAATGATAATAGAAAAGAGAGTGTTCTTTCACTTGAATTTTCAAGAAAGAAAGTCTCAGGATGGGTGAACCTGTATTTCTAGATTCAAATCAATGAAATGACAGTTTCTGTCCCACAAGGTTCTTAAGGTCAAGGGTTTTGACCTTAGGTCAAGTTCACTACAATCTTCTGTGTTGGGCCATCCTTTTGGCCAGTGGCTGTTTAGTTTCCCTGATGTAAGACTGATCACAGCCCTCCTGACACTGAACAGCATACACAATATTACTCTGTTTGTGCCAGGGGACTGGATCTTTGGGATGAACCAGTCTTTGCCGTAAAGTATTTTGGGGTTTAAAAGCCACTGGGACGTTATGTTTAGAAAATAAACGTCTCAGTTTCTCTGATACTCCCTCAACATACGGAATGACCACTGGTCTGGGTCTGGGTTCCTCTTTTTCAACTGATGGCTGACTGGAGTCCTGTTTGGGTTTCTTCTCTGCTTTCAGGAAGGCCCAGTTAGGATATCCACATTGCTCTAGAGCCTGTCTTGTGTGGGATTTCTCCTTCTGCCTGGCTCCTGAGTTAGTGGGGACGCTGTCTGCTCTGTGATACAGAGTCCTGATGACTCCTAACTTGTGCTCCAAAGGGTGATGGGAGTCAAACTGCAAATACTGGTCTGTGTGGGTGGGTTTGTGGTACACCTCGGTTTGCAAATGTCCTCTATCAGAGACTGAGACCTCACAGTCCAAGAAAGCCAACCTGCCATGTTCTTAAAAAGTTTTTTTATAATTGATTTGATGCTTTTAACTCAAGTTCTACATCATTAAATGATCGGGGTCAGACAGCGTTTTTGCAAAATTTGGGGTTGAGTTTTTTCATTAATTTCTATAGCCCTAAACCTTACCAGTACATCCCTAAATCTAACCATTACCAGTACATCCCTAAAT